ATTCTTGTTACATTTTTCATAATGCTACTAATAATACTGCTGCTATACCTAGATTGCGTGAATTGTGTGGTGCCAATACTTTGATGGGTAGATTTTTTCATCAACGTTGTGCATGCCATGTTATAAATTTATGTGTGCAAGACGGTCTAAAAGCGTTAGGAGATGCTATGGAGGTAGTGATTGGGGGGAATAGACGTATTTGGGGTAATGGTCAACTTAGATTAAAATGGCAAACTTATTTGACTAAAAGAGATGTGAGATATGTTGCTTTTCCTAAAGATTTGAGTATTCGTTAGAATAGTACTTAAAGTTGTTCTTAAATATAAAGAACATTTTCCTGCTTTTTTAAAACAACATGATAACTATATTATAAACTCGGCTGAGATCGACACTTGCGAAAAAAATTGTAATGTTTTGATAATTTTTTAATGCAGCTGAAACTTTTAGTCATGTTTATAAACCTACCGCAAACCAATTTATTCGTGAAGCTGTTAATCTCGCCGGTGCTTTTAAAGAATTTGAGAATGCCGTTTTCGTGAGTTATTTTTGTGATTATATGAAGGAAAAGTTTTTAAAATATTATGCGCATATTCCCCATATTTATGGTATTGAATTTATTCTCGATCCTCATTTTAGACTAGCTAATTTGGAAGATTGTTTCAACTTCTATTATCTTGCTTTTTTGGTGAATTTCCAATGTATGACGATAACCCCATAGATCCGAAAACGGAATACAACGAGGTCAGTGCTTTATTTTATGCCTTATTTAATGAGTTTCGTGCACAATATAGCAACGCTCCCCCTCCCCCGTCACGAACATCTTCATCTAAAGGAAAATCGATTTTTAAATCTGCATTTGGCAATCTTATGAAAAAAAACTAAAACAACTCACGTCACTGAACAAAGCGCATTGAATGAGATTACTTTATATTTAACATATGAAGTTGATTTTGAAGAAAATGATGACTTTGACGTTCTAAACTGGTGGAAGTCAAAAGAAAGAACGTTCCCGATTTTAGCACGGATGGCTAAGCAAGTACTATCAATGCCGGTTTCAACAGTTGCTGTGGAACAAGAATTTAGTTCGGCCGGCAACGTCCTAACGGCATCTAGATCGAGATTGAGTGCGGGGTCTCTTGAGACGCTTATATGCTACCACGATTGGTTGAAGGCCGCACGTAGAACTCAAGAAATGAGCATCACCCCCTCCCAAGATTTTATGGATGACTCAACAACCGATGGTGGCTCTACCTATGTCGGAGATTCCGATTGATTAGTGTTTTAGAATTTATTATAAAATGTAATTTGTAGCACTTGTCAAATGAATTTGTACTTGTACTTCATATTTCAAAATTGTAAACTTGTACTTCATATTTCAAAATTGTAAATTTGTAGTTGTACTTCAAATTAATTTGTAAACTTGTACTTCATATTTCAAATAAATATGCGTTCATTTTTTCATATGTAGCACTTCTCAAATTAATTAATTGGTTACAAACTTACGACTTAAAATTATTTTTCTAAAATCTAAAGGCGATTTTAAATTAAAAATACATTTACAATATGTAATTTGTTTAAATACTTATACACCTAATTTGTAACATTTGTAAATTATAAATCAAACCACTTTTCTAAGTACAAATAGCTTTACTTAATTCATTAAATTAATTAACTTATTTTACAATATGTATAACTTAAAAAAAAGATTTAATTTTTTTAAGTGGAAGGACCCGAAGATAAGTGGAAGGACCCGAAGACCGGACTGTGGTGGGCAACTTGCAAGTGGTGCAAGAAAGAGTGTAGCTTGAGGCGTTCACACGGATACAGGATGCCAATAAAACATATGAAGTCCTGTGACAAAGGGAAAACAACAACCAACGGTGGCGGAAATCCCAATTGATATTTATTAGAAAATGTATTTCGTATTGTTATTTTTTTCTCAATTCTCAAATGTAGTTCCTATTTCAAATAAATGCACTTGAACTTTGTTTTTAATAGGAATTTGTATAATCTATAATTATTTTAAAAAAAAAAATAACCGGCCCGGCGGGTGGCCCGACCTGTGACCCGGCCGGGTGGCCCGGCCCGAACCGAAACCGGCCATAGCCCGGACCGGTCCCGGGCCAACGTCTACCAGACCCGAGGCCCGACCGAGCCTTGGCCTGGCCCGGGTCCATCACTACTCATGATGTAAGGAAACCTTATTCTATCTCTCAAGGTGTAAATTCTTCTTCTTATTTCTCATAATCAGATATTGGGTATATATATATATTCCCATACAAGAAATGGACTAATCCTACTTTAATTGAAATACCAGTAGCCAAATGGAAATCTATTCTAATACTTATACTTTAGTGGATAATAATAAATAATAAATAGCAGCAAACTAGTTATTAAAATAAATAGGCAGAACTAAGCCACGTAATCCCGCAACTTCACATTACTCCTTCGCAGCCTCATACTTTGGCGTTGACCAGCCTCGACCTCGACATCATCATTGCCTCCTTCCCGAAGACGAACCTTGTCCTCAAGGTTGAAGTTTGGAAATTGTTGTTGTAGTGCCTCAATAGGTTCCCATGTCGCCTCTTCTGGACTAAAAGATGCCCATTGTACTAAAGCCTCCTTTGCTTCTCCTGTCAGTGTTCGTACACGCCGAAAACGGATCACCTTTTCAGGTTCAAAAACAGGTTGATCGTCTGCAGTATATGGGGGTAACTGAGGAGTGGTAGCAACCTGTGAACCAATACATTTTTTAAGAAGTGAGACATAAAAGACGGGATGAATACGGGACTTTGGTGGTAACTCCAGCCGGTAGGCCACCTCTCCAAGTTTCTCCGATATAGTAAAAGGCCCATAGAACCTGCAAGTGAGCTTCTAGTTCACTATTAGTCGTCTGAATCAGGTTCTTCCGCAAAAGTTGGATGATTTCTTCTCTAGAAGTGAGTTGACCATCAACCTTGGCTACTGGGGACTCACCATTGGTATATGATCTCAATATTGGTGAAGCTCTCCCATATAATACCTCAAACGGTGTCATATTGAGAGAACGATGATATGTGGTGTTATACCAAAGTTCAACCCATGGCAAATGAAAGATCCATCTTGCTGGAAAACCATGAACAAAACACCTCAAATATTGCCCAAGCACCGATTAACAACCTCCGTTTTCCCATCAGATTCGGGATAATATGCCGAACTCGTTTTTAATTTCGTCCCTTGTAGACGAAACAACTCCATCCAAAAGATGCTCATAAAAATTCGGTCCCAATCACTAAAGATGGATTCTGGGAATCCATGTAGGCGAACTACCTCCTGTACAAAAACTGGTGCAATTTCCTTTGCTATAAAAGGGTGCCCAAGGCCTACAAAATGGGCATATTTTGTAAGACGGACTACAACGACCAAGATGGTATCCTTTCCCCCTGCCTTTGGCAATCCTTCGATGAAGTCCATATTGATATTGGCCCAAACTGCACTAGGTACTGGTGATAATAAATATGCTGGACTTAGGCAGTCACTTTTAGCTCGTTGACAAATGTCACATTCACTCACATATTTTTTTTACTGTCGCGCGCATTCTAGCCCAACTAAAGACTTTATTTAGTCGTTGGTAGGTCCGCAACCTCCCGGAGTGGACGCCTTCCTTGGATCCATGAAATTCGTCAAGGAGTTGGCATCATAGACCTTCATCGTTGGGGACCATCGCCTTTCCTTTGTACATCACACACCCTCCTCGCACGTGATAATCGTTGACTGCTGTTAATTTTTGTTGAATCTGAGTACTGATTTCTTGTAAATGGGGGTCCTCCTTTGTTTTGCTACGTATGTCATCCCAAATGGCCCATAAGGGTCCAGATATGGCATTGATTTAATCCATGGCCTCTCGATCAGGTGTCTCCCGACGGGAAAGAGCATCAACAACGCTATTTGCTTTCCCTGGATTGTAGATAATGACATAGTCAAACCCCAATAATTTGGATATCCACTTTTGCTGTTCGGGAGTTGTAATTCGTTGTTCCAAAAGATGTCGTAAGCTTTTTTGGTCTGTAGCTATAGTGAAGCGACGTCCCAGCAGGTAAGGTCTCCGGGTGCGAACTGCCTCAACGATGCAAACATTTCCTTAACATAAGTTGACCATTCTTGTTTTGTAGGACCCAAAGCTTTACTCATGAACACCACCGGGTACCCTTTTTGAGACAGAACAGTTCCGATTCCATAACTTGATGCGTCTGTTTCAATAAGGAAATCAGTGGTGAAATCTGGGAGTGCAAGTAAGGGAGTGCTTGAAACGGCCTTTTTGAGCAAGTTGAACGCGCTTCACTGGTCCAACGAAATTTCCCCTTTTTCAGTAGATGTGTCAAGGGTTGTGCTATCAATCCATACCCCTGGACGAATTTTCTGTAATAGCTGGTCAGCCCCAAAAATCCCCTCAAAGCAGTGATGTTCTTCGGCACAGGGCATTGCAACATAGCCTCTATTTTCTTAGGATCCACCCGCACTCCGTCCTTGGAGATGAAGTGCCCAAGATATTCCACCTCCGTTTGTTTATTGGCGGTTTGTAGCCAATCCGCTGGAAATACCAGCGTTTTCCTTCATTAAAACAATGGCGGTTTGGCCAAAACGCTGGTATCCAAACACCATCACTATGTAGTACTTGTATCAGTTGTATGTTTTTTTCATTCTTGGGTAATCTTTTATGTTGCTGAATTGCTAATGTCAATATATTTGAAGTGGAGTACTTATTTCAAAAATCTCATACCAACCTCAAGTGGAATAGATATTAAATATTATTGGCAAAGACACAAACTTCACACAGATTTGTAATGGTCGACTTATTCCAAGAGCTGACACAAACTACACAGATTTCTAATGGTCGACGTATTCCAAGAGCTGCAAATCTGGAGCATATTATTGTGCCCGTGAAAAATGATCAAAATGTTTTCTGTGAATTATCAAATCTTCCTCTTAGGACTTTGATCATTCCAGATAAATTTACATTGCCTTGAAGTTATAATGAATCGAGTGTGGGAAAATACGACTTAAGCAATAGTTTACATATCCATTCTTAAGTAGAGGTACTCATTTACAATTCAACGAACTCGAAATTAATAACTATGGAGAGATGAACTTTAAAATAACTACGTTTTGAATGCTAGTATATTCAATTGGCATTTTTTTAACATAAGACATTTCTACTTCTATATCGGCACGCAGAAAGCACAAAAGTGTCTCCATATTTTCGCACAAATTGTGGCCCCAATACGAATTTGGTTGAAAAAAGACAACCTTCTCAAGTGCAGGAAAGCGATGAAGAAGCCATTTGATGAAAACCATTTCATGTCTTGACCCTTTTAAACGGCTGCAAACAATACTTAATTCTCGAATTGAATTGAATGTTTGAGCCAAAGTATGGTTAGGGAGCTCCAATAGTTCATTTGCACTTTCAACTGCCCGGAACTATGAAAAATGCACCGAAAAAGAAAATAACAAACTTTCACTTTAACTTTCAAATTAAAGATCAAGAGTACATTGAAAAATGCAAAATAAAAACTTGAGAGATAGTTATCCACTAAAGAGAAGATTATTACCATTAAATGTATGTCAAGTTTGGTTAACTTTGGGCACATCTGCAGCAACTGAAAGCAAACTGATATGTTATCGAAATATGGGCCATACATCAAGCGTAGCTGCAAGTGTTCCACATTTGGTGTAGTTCGTTCATGACCCACCCTATATAATTCTTCAACAAACCACTTGAAATGAAAATAACGTGAACATTGAAACGTCATTTTCAAAACATGAACAAATAGTAATCTACAAGTAACAATCAAATAAAAGCATGTGTTACATACCTCAAGGTCAGTACCTTCAAGATGAAGAGAGTGTATAGTTCTCAAGTCTAACTTTACCGGAAGAATGAGAGAATGGTTTCTTCCAGCAATGGTAGAATCATGATCAACACTAAATTTCAAACTTCTTAGCTTTGGGGCAGTAAAGATACAACCAGAAACGCTTTCACACGTTAGATTCCTGAGCACAGGAAGTTCAGCAGCACAACATTTTCTATCATCAAACCTGACGTTTTTTAAGAAGAGTGAAGTCACATTCGGGAATATGCAAGGGGTGCTAATTTGTTCAAACAAGACTCCCGAAAGATGCAACGTCTTTAGTGTTGGGCAAGAAAATATGAACTCTGGCAATATGTATGCAGTATATCCGCTGAAACACAGGTGTATTTCCTCTATACCATTTTGGGTGAGACAAAGTAACCATTCATCAAAGTCGAACCACCTCAACTTCTTCTTAACAGTTCTGAAGTTAAAATCAAACACAAATTTTTGAATAGGTCCGTTGTGCTTGATAATAATTGTGTCGATTATGGACATTGTTGATTCTGCCATGTAACGGTCCCGAATGTAATTGAAGAACTCGCTATCAAAGTTGAGGTGTGTAAGGCTCAACCAAGCATCTCTCAAGCTCGTACACAAAATGGCAGGTTTAGCGGCTTCTTCGATCCGCAGTAATCCCAAAATATGAGCAAGTATGTCCAGAGGAAGTCCACTAATTCTGTCATTCACCTCCATATATGGCAGATAAGTGTGACATACAAAGTTGAAATCCGAAAAAGAAAAAAGATGTTAAAACATCATAAGAAACCCCTGAATGAATATGCAATTAAAATATTCACAATTGAAACCCCTTAATTAGGGGCAAAGGAGATTCTCAAATTCCAAACAGAACCGGAATAATCATATTCTCACACGAACCTATTTCAAGTTCACAATTGTCAATTTGGTATATACATACTCCCTCTTCTTTATTAGTACAATAGATCCTAAATCTTCTTCTCACCTTCACTTAATACATTAATTAAGAAATAAGAAATGTATGCTTCTAATTGGTAGAAAAAGAGAATAATATCAAATTATCAACCACACAATTCATTCCTTAAATGGCTGTGACTTGAATGACTTAAATATGTGTTGCCTGAATGACTGAATCTACTAAGGACTAGTTTAGTTTTTGCCATTTGATTTGTTATTCGTTTTATTAAAAAAATTAACTTAATGTTTCACAATTCAATAGATTTGGCCAATTTAATAGTTCCAATCATAGTTTCAGCTATTTCAGTAGAATGAGCCGATTCCAACATTTCTTATTAATGAGCTATTACAATTTTCACTTTGACTGATTTTAGTTTAGACTTAAACAGACCAAATCAGATTTGCAGAATAGTACAATATAAATATTTGGAGATTTTTACCAAATCTGAATAAACCAAAATTTGGTAATAGTAAAAATACACAAATACCAGACCTTTATCAGACCAAACTTAAATGGACTAGGACCCTACTTAAACATACACCAAAAAAGAAATCACAATGGAAGTAAAAACATTCTACCAAGTAGGCCTAAAGAAAAAAGTTGATAACCAAAAAGTAAAAAAGCCATCATGACCGAAAAAGAGAAGAAAGAAAAAATCAAAACCAGTCAAATTATATGTTGTTTATTTGGGATATTAACTTCGGTGATCACTTTACTTTTAAGTAAATTTTAATTTTGTCACACTACTTTAATTTGTTTCATTTTGATCGTTTAATTATAACATTAGTTTCAAATTAATCATGCATGTTAAGTTTCCAGAATAGTGATGTTTTTAAACATGTACTACCTCCGTCCCTTTTATATTGGGACGGAAGAGGGTGACATGATTTTTAAGAAAAGTGAGTTTGTGTGGTTGATATTAATTGATAAAGTAAGAATAAAGTAAGAATGATTTTGAGCCACACAAATTTTACCAAATATGATACTCCCTCTATCGGTTTTTATTTAGGGAAACACTGTTTTTCAAGTCAAAGTTGTTCAACTTTGACCAATTATATATTTATACACGGTAGTATTGATAATGTGAAAATTATATGAAAATGTTCTTTGTTAAAAATACTATCATAAAAGTATAAATTTATTTTCACATAAATATACTCCGTATTAGTTAAAATATTGGATCAAAGTTTATCAGCTTTAAATAGAAAAGTCAAAGTTGGCTAAATAAAAAGGGACGGTATGTTTATCTTTCAAAGTGAGCACTAATAGCCACCCCATTTAATTATCCACCCAACTATAGTTTTCATTTCCACTAAAAAATCATTAAATTCTTGATACAAAATGACAACATTCAAATACCTTTATTCAATCCTCAAGCTCGTTGGTCACTGCAAACTAGAGGCATGAGAGTCAGCTCTAATACTTAATCTAATAAGTTCTAGAATCTAGATGTTATCCATTTTAGCCTAAATAAGACATTTGATGCCCAAGTAGTTTTCTTCTACATCTGGTGCCCAATTCAAGTATAGTTTTACAGTTCTTAAAAGCCTGCATAATAATGTTAGAGTTCAAGCGTTGAAGGTTTTCATCTCATTTGATTATTTCCTTAAACAAATTTCCTCATCATCATCTTTAGACCACTTAGTATCCAAGTAACCAAAAAAATATGAAGCTAAAACATTAAAAAAATATGAAGTGCTATATGCTTCACATATGATGCCAACAAATACAAAAATTACAGAAAAAAAGAGTATCCATAACTGAACATACCGGAATGATGGATGCAATGTAACATATTCAGAATTGGGCACCGCAAAATATTGCCGCACTTTTGTTTCTTGAACTTATAGACAGAGGCCCTATGAAGCACGGAACTCATGAAGCTCACGTTTCCCCATTTCCGAAACTCGCAAGCGTTTCGGAACATCGAAAACTCAAATTCCCATTTCGGCCCGGGGCCGTTTCCGTATTAAGAAGAAATGGGAAACCCGTTTGCTAACATAGATATTTTACTGTTAACCAAGAGAGACATTTTCCAGTTTTCTTCTCTGTTTTCTATTCTCCAATTTTATGTTTTCATTTTCCATATTTTCTATCTCCAATTTTTTGTTTTCATTTTATTGTTTTCCATTTTCAAATCTGAAAAACATGTTTATTAAATTTTTTCAACTCATTCTGTGACCGACTGGAAGACCAAAGTATTATCTTGGTCGGTTGGTCCAAAATCAAACCTAGTACAACCTAAGTAGGGTGCTCTGTCCGAGGTATAGGAAAGTCGTGACCGAAACCGGTCTGTCCATGTCGGACCCAATGGCTAGTTTGACTAATTCTTTTCGCTTTTCGCCTATTGATTGTCAACTCAACGGCTCTTTTGAAACTCTTCACTTTAAAAAATGATTTTAAAAAACAGGGACCGAACTGTCGGGTCATCGACCAGATCGGACATGGATCGTCGAGTCATTGATCGGACCGACCTGGGGCCGTTCAGGTCATCGATCGGACAGGACATAGACCGCCGGGTCATTGACCAAATATGATGGGACCGCCTGATCGTTGACCGGATTGGACATGCGCCGCCGATTCTTTGACCCGATCTGATTGGAGCGGGACTATATTTCCGTCGACCAAACCGGACACGTACTGCCTGGTTGTTGACCTGGCCAGACAGTGACTGCCGATCATTGACCTGACCAGACAAGGACCAACGAGTCATTAATTGGACCCCGCTTGGACTTCCAGATCATCAACCGGGCCAGCCTGGACAGGGACTACCTGACTGTCGACCGGACCGGACTGGTACCACCAGGTCATTGACCAAACACAGGGACCGTCGGGTAGTTGACCAGACTGGACAGGAATCATCGGGTCGATGATTGGACTAGACCGCCGGATCGTTGACTGGACCAAACAGAGACCATCGGATCATTGACCGGACCAGACCGGAACTGACATCGGAGCATGACCAGATTCACAACTAGACGTAAGTATGAAAATTCATTGCATCGGCACCACAACATCCGCGTTTTTCAAATTTTGAAAATCAGTAAAACTCACTTCTCCAATTCATTAAGGAAAATAGAGACATGTTCCAATTTTTTTGGTTTTGAAAAACGATTTGGTAAACGCATATTTTTGTTTTCCTTTCTCCAGATTTCCAGCAAATTGTTTCGGTAAAGACGTTTTGTCTGTTTTGCTTTTTCTAGATTTTCAGAAAACTATAAAATATCTCTGTTAGTAAACAGGCCCTTAGCACTATAGAAGCTTTGAGTTTCCAACTTTTCTTTTTTAAGAGATTTTGTGATGAAAAATAGTGTCTTTTACAAAAATAGTGATTTTTTGTGATATTTCTTCGCAACATTGTGCCATTTCGGAACGCAATGAATTGCTAGAAACGTATTGCATTTAATTTCTAATTATGCACTAATATGATGTTAATTCAAAATCTAAATATGTGGAATATTTTTATTATTGGGTCATTAAACAAATTACATTGAAAAATCATGTACATATATGAAAAAATATTTATAGATATATCCTTATATTTATTAATACTACACGTTTCCCCCACAATTCGTATCCTATATTTTTTATTTAGAAATTACGTTTCCTAAATTTCACGTTTTCCGTTTCCCGTTTCTGTGCTAGAGCATAAAGGGTGGGGATGATGAATGAGTAGGGTATGACCATGGTTGCCTAATGCCTAAAATTAATTGAGGTGGACCATATTGTACATAATTAATTTGTAACTGAAATTAAAATTAGATAATTGATACTAACCGAATTAAAAGTGACTAAATTGAAACTCACTACAAGTTAAGTGATCATCCAAATTAATTTCCCAAAATAGTTAAATTTATGAAAAAATCGATAACTGACATCAACCGTTGAACCCAAGGTAGTGACGATGCTGGTCAACACCTATTGGCTATGAACATCATGCTCGGAGCGTAAACACGGGAATTGAATAGATTCAAATCATAATGCATAAACATATGAATTTAATTTGTATTATAAGAATTAAAAATAAACCAAAAAAATTAAGATGCATGTCAATACTTTGAAGTTAGTCCGTATAATAAAACCCTAACCACAGTATTCAAAACCCAAATTAAATTTGATGCATGTGCTGGACATATATATAATATAATGTATCTAAAGAAGAGATCGGTAGAACAAAGAGGAATGTTCAACTCACACGTTATTGCCGAATGTCGATCTACTCAATTTCAACCTGTTATGCTGGGAACTAGATCAATTCAGAGATTAATTAGAAAGTACTCCACAGTAATAAATTATATATAGCGCTAGGTTTTCCAAAACCGTACCATTTTTTGAGATGTCAAAATAAAAGATACGGAATGTTACTATAGCTATAACTAGATTTCAAGCCCGTGCGATGCACGGACTGTACATAATTTAGCTAATTTCAAATTTGATTTTTTCGTAATCATATAAATGTGATGCAAAAGCAAAATAAACTCAATTTGATATAGAGCTCGTTTGATAACACTAAAATTGTTCAAATCGACTGATTCTGCTGAAATCGATTAAGTTCTAAGTGAATGGTATGCCTAAATATTTTTAAATTCTAGTGAGATATTACATTTTACTCATTATTTCGTCACATTCAAAATGTATGTTAAAAGTGTAGTTTTTAAAATTTCAACTATTTTCTCAATTGGACAATTATGAGTTGTCTAAACTAATAAAAAGAAGTTTGAAGAGTCCAGGCTTTTAGGGATTCCAAACGTATCCCATCTTCCACGCTCAATTCAAATGCTACGCTCATCTAGAGCACCATAGCACATTTCTGATTTAGGATTGATATAAGTCTAAATAAAAATATTGTATATGTATTTACTTGATTTGTAATTTTTTTATATCAAGGAATACCTAATTTTTTTAAAGGGGGGAATACATTATTTATTAGTTTTGGTATTTAATTGTATTAAAATTCATTACAAACGTGGCTTTAAAATCGAATTAAACCGAAATACATATCATTAATAAATACATTTTTAATTGGATTGAAATTTTTGAGTCTAATTTGATCTGATTTGTTTAAGTCTAATGTGATATGAAATGATCTGGTCTTGTAGATGTATGTTTTATGTGTATTTAATTAATATTGAAATTGAAATTTGATCTGATGTGGAGCTGAAATCAATCGAATTATAAACATCCTAAAAGTATGAATAAAATTAGGAATAGGTAAACGTATAAAGGTTTCCTATTTTGGATTAATTAGTTATATGTTTCAAAAGTGAATGCATGTTTAATTTAGATTGTAGTTGTAGAAACAAAGAAACAACTAAACATATTTACTTTTTTTGGGTGGGCTAAACATATTTACTTGAACATGTGTTTTTTTTTCATATTTCTTTTTTTTTTGAAGCAAGGATGATTTTTTTTCATATATGAACATGTAAGGCTGTCCAAAAAAATATAAACCCGTAATAACATTAATTCTCGTTTTAAAAAATCTGATGGTTATATTTTTCATCATTATCTCAACAATTAAGAAAGAATGACATGAAGATGTAGAAAAATACAGAAATATTAACACAATTGCAAATATGGGGTTTAGAATTTTAAACTCAAACAAAAACGACATTGAATTTAATTAGAAAAGTATAATATTACATTTTAGGAAATGGAACACTATTATTACATTTTTATTTTTTTATAAAATAACTTTGAAGAACAGAATTCTAAGCAATTGGACTGATTTATCTGTTAAGTTGGCAAAGCACGGATACTTCATTTCTTCACTAGGAAAGAATCTCAAGTATCATGTGTTAATAACAATAAGAAATGACCACAAAAATTGTAATCGACATAATGCTAATGGTAACCAATAGTAATTTTATTAAACTCAAGGCAATGAAAATGTAATCAACCACTTAACGTCTTACATTGACGTGATTTTAAATTTTAATGTTGAGAAGTTATGAATTTAGTATTAAGGATCCAATAAAAATATATTCTCTTGGTACGGCCATCAATATGTAAAGTTCATCATTTTCATATGGCCATCAATATCTAAATCTAAATATTTCTAAATTCTAAAATTAGAAACTTAAATATATCGTACATGTAGGTAATTTTGAGGTTGCTAAAGGTACCAAATAAGGTGGATTTCTATCAAAACATGTAATTAAAATAGAATGTATTAATAATTAAATAATTAAATAATTGTTATATTTGATGACATGGCAGGATTATGTGGCGCATTGTATGCTCTTAAAAAGTTCCTCTTATATATATATATATATTGATTAATTAAAAATTGTCTATCTTTCTTTTTTTAGTCTGATTCATTAAGATTGCCTCACATTAAGTTTGGTAAAATATATGCACTTCTTAACAATTTTACTTTAATCTTATTTTCTTAATTTAATATCAACCAAATAAGTTTAATTTTTTTCATAATTGCACATTTTCCTCTTGTGCCAATTTTAGGGAACAGAAATAGTATTTTATAGTGAATAGTATTCCTGTGAGGGGTTTATATAAAAACTAATTATTCATGTGTATTCAACATCTAGTATCATTGAAAATATATTTTTAATTGGACTTATTCAATCTTAGACTATACACGATCAGATTTGGATGGATGAAATTAGATTACATTAAACCAGCGCAAATTATATGGTACACCCGTTTTTTTGTAATATGT